CAGATGACTTCAAAAATTACTGCAGTGAGCGAGCTGTATCTGGTTAGAGTCTCCAAAGCAGATAAGCACTCGTACCTTGCCTTACTTGTCCAATCACTGATCTTACCATGAGGTTAAGCGATCCGATTCGAGTGCCATCTCTTTGTGATATGCGAGGGGCAACCCTTGAGAATCCTCCCGTCTCTTGATGAAATTGGAAGAAAACAGTGATGCATGGAAACAGTCCGGACGAAGAGATGAAGAATGTGTCCACCTCTGTTCAAGCATGCACATTGAGGATCTTGCTGTCTGGCCATGTCGTCGGTTTACGACATATTAACTGTCCACATATGGGAAGAGCAGCAGATGAGGTTGAATGGCAGGAGCAGTCCATGTAAATAGCGCGTGTTGTGGTTGAGAATGTTCAGACTGATTGCTCTCTCTGCAGACATGATATTCGAACATGTGCCCGTGTGCCTTTCATCATATCGACTCCAGCCCGTGAATTGCCCTTCCTGATGTTGTCATCTCTCTCTCTCTCTCTCTCTCTCTCTCTCTCTCTCTCTCTCTCTCTCTCTCTCTCNTCTCTCTCTCTCTCTCTCTCTCTCTCTCTCTCTCTCTCTCTCTCTCTCTCTCTCTCTCTCTCTCTCTCTCTCTGCATCTGTGTGTATGTCACAGTATGTGTGTGTGTATGTCACAGTATGTGTGTGTGTATGTCACAGTATGTGTGTGTGTTTTGTGTGTGTGCGTGTGTGTGTGTGTGTGTGTGTGTGTGTGTGTGTGTGTGTGTGTGTGTGTGTGTGCATGGTTCTCTTTCCAGGCAGTTTCCTTTTGGGGGGGCGATGAAACTCAGATTCGTACGCAGGCCGGGGGAGACTCACACAAGGCGTTTTTGGATTGCAGTTGGATGTGATTGCTGTGAGATACATCCACAGGAGTTCAAGGTATGATTCTCTCGACCACATTTAGGCATGACTGCCATCAAATACATCCCGAAAAGTACGAAGTTACGAGTTAGTTCAGAAGCTCAACGCCATATAGAATTTGTGAATAGCGAGATTTCGCAAGCCAAATAAGTAGTACCTAGGAATAAGCTTCCAAGAATAGAATCTATCGGTTCTCTGCTGCAGAGTTAGACGGACTTTGCAAACAGCTCAAGTAACCTTCTGAAAAGGGATGGATTAAGCCCAACACATCTACTGTCCGTGCCTAAGAAGGGAGGCAAACAGCTCGAGGATGCATTCGGCTATAGGGGCATCAATATGATCACAGTTAGGAACAAAGAGCGCCTATAGCACATACATGACCTCATATTCAGCACAATAGATCTAACATTTGGGCATGATCGAGTAGAGCTTAGGCCAAAGGATCAGCACAAAACTGCATTTCAGACCAGATTTGGACTGCATGAGTTGTAGCGATGCCTTTTCGACTCTCTGGAGCTCCTGATACATTCCGGCACTACATCAATAGAATACTTGATGCAAAGTTCGACAAGTTTGTAGTCGTCTATCTAGATAACATTCTGGTCTTTAGTAAAAGACTAGAAGAGCATGTGGAAAACCTGAGGATAGTGTTAGGACTGCTCCGAGAGAATGAGTAAAATCAATGTTGCAAAATGATTTTTGTCGCTCTAGGATCCTGTACCTGGGTCATGAAATATCTCAAGAGGGTGGAGGGCCAGAGATGCAACGGGTGCGGCCATTAGAGATCGCCTAAGATCAGATAGGACCAGCAGCATTCTATACAAGTTCATACGGATCTATGGCAATACGACATTTTCTATGGAAGACCTCGCTAAAAAGGATCCCCTCGGGAATTGGACAACAGAAAGAGAGAAGGCTTGCAAGAAATATTGAAGTTCTCTCTCGTTAATAAATCCATCTTGGGAGATTGTTGATCCAAACTTGCCATCGATACTGAATACCGACGCTACCCAGTACCCAGTACGGAAAAGGTGCAATGCTTCAACAAAAGGACGGGAAGAAGTTAAGGCATGTTGAGTACATGTCAAAGAAGATGCCTTTAGAGAAGATAGCAACATCTACCTATGAGAAAGAGCTGTCCTATGAGAGGGAATGATATGCACATTACACCGCACTTGAACATTAGAAGCGTTATCTGCATGATCTGCACTTTTTGAGGGTTCAGTTTGAGCATGATACTCTCCAGTAGATTGAGACAACTGTCTAATCCTCAAGAGGTGGTCAAGATACAGAGGTCTGTTTGACTTCATGCTGACACATTACAAAGGCAAATTCAATTGGGTTGCCGGTGCAATTTCATGAAAAAGCAAACTTCCTAGGTGCTATAGTAACACATTTTGGCATAGATGACAGTGTTCGTCAGCACATTATCAATTTCTACCCAAGAGATAGCCTTCCCAGGTAGATAATTAGAAGCCTTGCCTCCAGGATAAAGATAAGACTACCAGTGAGGAGTATATTTAGAATGACCGATGGAGTGTTGTTTCTTAGCAAGGATGGATTCAACAGGCTATATTTCCCTAATACGGAGTCCTTGAAGAGTCTTATCTTGGTGAATGTCATGATAATGCAGGATAATTCAGCTTTAGAAAGACTTGTGCTAATCTGTTGCAGCAGCTGTGATGGCCTGGCATGAGACTCGATGTTCTTGGCATGCGTAGAAAGTTGTGGGGTTTGCCAACAGGGATAAACCCCATACTCAAGCACCTCTAGGCTTGCTAAAGCCTCATTCTATTCATTTTATTTTTTTTAGCTACCCATATCTGAAACGGTTTTCACCTGTTAGCAGTAGCGAATGCAGAACTCAGGGCTCGATCCCTAGTTCTTACCTTACCTGTGTACAGTATCTGTGTCGACCCCGAGAGTTGAACCCGTGACCTGTGTATTTGTAACAGTTGGTAGACTGCCGTAGGGTCCGTAGGTAGCAGGGGTTCGATCTGTAGACCTGTCGAGTAGAAGTCTTAGGGAGTTCTAGAAGTCGTAGCTGTAGAACTTCTGAAAGGTCAAGGTCGTAGCTGCTACAGTCCTGAAGGGTCAAGGTCGTAGCTGCTACAGTCTTCGAAAGGCCAGGACCCAGACTTCCGGAAGGTCCTAGTAGTGGCCTTTCGAAGTTGCTCACAATTAGGCTGAGGCAAGTGGGCAAGTGGGCAAGTGGGCAAGTGGTGAGCCCAACTGCAGTACGTCGGCAGTGCGACTGCATCGAGTTGGCAGTGCAAACCCATGCAGTCAGAGGTACCGGTCCCAGTCAGTCCTAGTTCAGTCAAGCAAGTACCATATGGGACTGTGTGCACCACGGGCATGGGAAAGGGCCAGACCAACGAGCTACAGAAGTATAAATCAAAGGGCAGCCTCCAGCCATTCATTCATTCCTGCGTAAGCCATGCGGAAGCGCTGCCATAGCGACTTGTGCGAGGTGGTCTGCAGTGAGCCCGAGGACGAAGTGGGCGAGAAGGAAGCTGGCCATAGCGATAGAGTAGCAGCGGCCATAGCCGCCATAGCTGTAGGTGTGTGCGGGTATGTGCGAGTGTACAGGGTGTTGCATGTGGGATATCCAGGGTGATCCGGTGTGTGAACAGCAGCGTTGTGTGAGTGACGAACAGAGATTTGTATAGGCGCTGATGCGCCCTAGCCATCTGAAGTGAGATCGTATCTGAACTGTGTTCTTGGTTACCATATCTCTGAGTTTTGGAGTGGGCGCTTCTCGCCAGTTTGCTGCGCAACCTATTTGCATGCATGTGAAGTGTGAATGAAAGCGAGTCTGATTGCACTGGTATCGGAGCTGGTACCCGCTATCCCATGCGCCATCGCCGTTGCAGC